GTGTTCATTCTAGAATGAAAGAGGCATAATTTATATTTATTTCCTTATGTTTTATAGTGGTTGCGACATCAGTCAAATCTACCAAACCCATACAGAGATTCATTACTGAAAATAACAGATAAAATAAATTTTTTTCTTAAGAAATGTTTGATAACTATCTCGGCATTATAAAGATTTCACACGTGAAATTTCTAAATTTTCTGATACATAAAAGTATTTTTAATCTTAAAATGAAAATTACTTTGCATGATAGGCAACATGTGAAAAGAAAAAAAAAGACATGATAAAAACATTGCTTTACAAACCTTAAGACTTAATAAAAAAAATTGATATTTTACATAAGAAAGCATTGTAATGTTTACTGATAATCTACCAAATTTTGTTAACATTCGCTTACTAATTTAAAAGTTATAGCACAAAAACTATAACAAGCACAAAATTGTTACAAGGTCGGTCTCAGGGACCGAGCCCGTGCTGAAGGAGATAAAGAAACATTATTACAGTGGTTTAGTTGTAATTTCCCTGAATTTCTGTCTGTGACTTGGTAAAAATGTTAGATAAAGAAAAATAAACCTTAATATGTGTGTTAGTTCATAACTAATTCTCAGGGACTTGTTTGTGTGAAACTGACTGATAATTAGATAAGGATAAAACCTCATTTCAGGAGTTGAACAGTAACTTGCAGGATCTCTAAGTTGTGTCTGTGACACGCTGAACTTTGCAGTGATGGAAAAGAAGAAATCAAGCATTAGTTAGCTTTTAAAAATAAGATATTGTTAACGTTACGGGTCAAACAAAAGTCAAGTTCCTATGATTTTCTCATTGTGTAATGTAATATGTTTGAAGAGTGGTTGTTGCAGTTTGGCCTGAAATAATTCATGATTTGTTTTGCAGGTACTGATAACGAGTCTCTTGTTCACGAAAAGGTTTTAGATGTTTTGATGAAACTTTTTCACAAGATGATAGAGGTAACTAATCCCTTTCATCTTACCCTGCTGGGGATTTGTTTTACCAACTTTACTGAACAGAAAAATAGTATTTTAAACTTTTTCACACCCAAGTCTTCAAGGATTTCTTCACAAGTAGTAGTGCAGGAAGATCACTTTAATTCAAGAAAACCTTTGTTGACCAATGAAAGTTTTCAAAAAATGTGCAAGCATTATTCTGATGATGTGTTCAATTCATCAACTTCACAAGAAAAGCAAAAGGGAAGAGATAGTTTATATGAAGATGGAGCTAGTACCTAAACGAGTGTGTGCAGATAAAACTGTTTCTAGTCCTAAACGAGTGTGTGCAGATAAAACTGTTTCTAGTCCTAAACGAGTGTGTGCAGAAGAAAAGAAGCATTCGAAAGTTTGGAGATCATTTTTCTATCCATCTTTATCTTTTGGAGAGACTGGTGGGAGTGTAAAGAAAACTCTACTAACTAGCCAGGTTAATTCATCATCTGATACTAAGTATCAATCATATGTACATGATGGTCATCACCATAAAGATGACCAGTCATCCCTCCCCTTTAGCCAGTCTGATACAACAGATGGTCTTCCACTTGGAATTGACTATTCCACTTTCAAGGAACTACCGTATGACCTTGAACAGGGATTATTAAAAAGTAGGAAACTAAATCCACAACCTTCATATTTAACATCGTTTAACAGCCAGGAGGAACAGTCCACTACCCAAAGGTCTTTTAATCTCAATACAAATTCTGCAAACCCATCTAATAAAAACACAGATAGTAAGTTAGCCATTTGCCCACCAGGAGTCGACAAGACAGTGTTTTCAGAATTGCCACCAGAGGTCCAAGCAGAATTGATGACAGAGTGGAAAGTAGAGTTATCTAGTAGAAGAACAACAAAGTCGAAGAAGAATGTAAAAACTTTACGTGCATACTTCAGTAAAACATCCAAGGAAGATGACTTGGACTTGACATCGTGATAAATTTTAAAGTTGTTGGTAAGAGAATTTTCAGGTGATTTAAACTCCTGTGTTTTAATATAAAGTGATAAAATTGTATTGTTAAGAACTTGTTGAATAAAGAAGAGTTGAAAATTGGTTTTCCTAAGATGCTACTTATTTATTTCTATATACGAAATCTTGTGCCTATACATGTAGAAATACTGGCTCAGCAGTAAGTCTGTGTAGCTTTGTGCATAACAACAACCAAACGTGTAAAAACGGATATAAACATTGATTCCGTGTTTAAATACGGTATGCTGATTAGCCATCTGACATTCACGTGATAAAATGGGTTCATAAGTACTTTTTT